AAATATTTTTTAATTGTTCTTCATAGATAAGGCTCAGTGCTTGGTGAGCCCAGCTGACAGAATAGAGTGCGGATATGCAGGAATTAGTCCTCAAGAATGTCACTCCAGAGGATGCTGCTTCGATACATCAATTCCGGGGGTCAAATGGTGCTTCCGCCCCAACAGCTACAGTAAGGGTTTTTCTATGCTATCATTTCCATTCATGTTATTATAATACACTTATTTTATAGTGCCAACAGTTTCCACAGCTCTTTGCAAACAAAACAAAAAAAACAGTGTAAATGAAATCAGCAGTGAGCAGTAATAAAGTTTGATTTACCGAACACAAAAACTATACTGCCAACAAAAAATAGAGCATTATTGGTAACTATGGTAGGCCTAGATGTGCACACTGTCCAAAGAAATGAAGGAAAGGGAAGAAGAGAATATAAAGGATTTGCAGGATGGTTTTACAGGAAGGGCAGCCCGCAATGCTGTTTTTATGCCTGCTACCGTTGAGGCCCTTTAAGAAGCGTTGGTGCACTTAACAACAGTTTTAGTAAACCAGAATGCAGTATAGGTGTGGTACAGATGCAGTAAAGGTGCAATGTAGGTGTGGTACAGGTATAGGTGCAGTCTACTTAATGTCCTGCCTCCAGTAACTACTCAGTCCCTGCTAGCAGTGTAAACAATGGGCAGTGCCCTCTCACCAGTCTCTGTGATTTTGAGAAACCAGCTTGGCTGTGAAGTGCGGATATGCAGGAATTAGTCCTCAAGAATGTCATTCCAGTGGATGCTGCTTCGACTTATTAATTCCTGGGGTCAAATGGTTCTTCCGCCCCAACAGCTACAGTAAGGGTTTTTTCTGTGCTATCATTTCCATTAATTTTATTATAATACTCTAATTTTATATGCCAACAGTTTCCATGGCTCTTTGCAAAAAAAAAGTTTAAGTGAATTCAGCGATGAGCAGTAGTAAAGTTTGATTTACCGAACAAAAGAACTATACTGCTAAAGAACAAAAGAGCATTATTGGTAACTATGCTAGGTCTAGAATTATAAGATGTGCACTGTCCATAGAAATTAAGGAAAGGGAAGAGGAGAATATAGAGGACTTGCAGGATGGTTGTACAGGAGGGGTAGTCCATTATGCTGTTTTTCTGCGGCTACCATTGAGGCCTTTTAAAATGCGTTGGTGCACTTAACAGTTTTAGTAAACCAGAATGCAGTATAGGTGGGGTACAGATGAAGTAAAAGGTGCGATATATGTGTGGTACAGGTATAGGTGCAGTTTAGTTAATGTCCTGCCTCCAGAACCTCAGTCCCTGCTAGCAGTGTAAACAATGGGCAGTGCCCTTTTACAGGTCTCTGTGATTGTGATAATAAGGTTGGCTGTGAAATCTAACTGTAGGAAGGTGAACCCCCTGAGTCTTTGCACATGATGCCTCCAGAAATTTAATGGTGGAAAGTAGAGTGTAAGAGGATGTTCTGGTCTCCCTGCAGAAACGATGCATATGCGGTCACTACAGTCTGTGCTGTGCTGCCTTGGCTGTCTCTGCTGGCCTGGCCTCTCAGCAGTCTGGTCAGTATGAGACAGATGTGCTTTCATTGGTTCCCTTGGTGCCAAGAATAGGCCGTCTGGTAAAAGCTGTTCCACCACCACCCCCACCTCAGGGTGTTCTGGGAACTGTAGTTCAATTCCCATGAACCTCAGTGTTCTGCATAGGAGTCCATAGGCTTTCCTGGCTTTAGTTTTCCCTCTGCTGACTGAAGGGAATGGTGCAACAACTTTCAGCATAATAGAAGAAAGTGAAAGTAAACTGGTTATAAAGAAGAAATATCTCCTTCCCCATGTTTCTCCAGTCCACCACCTGGCTACACAGTCATATATGCAAACGTGATCATGTGCTAACAAGGAACATGCTGATAGGAGGAGTGTGTAGAGTGACAGAGAGATAATCTCATCAGTATGCTGCATCTCCTTTTACTTTTACTCTGTCCAGTCACTTCTCCTGGGGTCAATCCTCTGGAACTCCCTGCCCTAACCCATCAGATTATCACCTACTCTCCTCTCCTTTAGGTGCACCCTGAAAACCCACCTCTTCAGGGAAGCCTACCCCACCCCCTGCTAACTTGCTCTCCTCCACTCTTCCTACCACTCCATCCCCCACAGCTATCTCCTCCTGTACCACCATCTCCTCCCTCCTAGATTGTAAACTCGAAAGAGCAGGGCCCTCGATCCCCTCATGTTTTGCATTGTATTGGTATTGCTCTGTCACATGTTCTGTCCCCCTTTGTAATGTACAGCGCTGAGCAAACTATTGGCACTTTATAAATACTGTATAATAATAATTACTGTCCATCACCGGGGAAGGGGGGAATCTGAACACCAGAGAAAAATCGGGTCATCTATCCTGTTAGATACACCTGTGCATGTGGCAGAGCTGTGTAAAACTTGGGAATGGATGGACAGAAATACAACTCGTTTGTCAAGTAAAACAGCTAACATGTAGGCAGGGGCGGACTGACAATTCATGGGGCCCCCGGGCAATAGGGGATCATGGGGCCCATGTCCTTGCCCAAACTCAAAAAAGCCTATGAAAAAGGTACCAGGGGCATCTCATGGGGCCCCCTACTGACCCTGGGCAGTAAAACAGCTAACGATGTTTTCAATGGTGTGGGCAGAGCCCGAGTTTCCAAATGGTCAGTCTGCCCTGCATGTAGGCATTTCATCTATATGTGTAACTGTTTGCCTGGGCTTCAGTCTTCAAGAATAAGTACACTTAGGGTCCTTTCACACGGGCATTCCGTTTTTTTCCTTCAGTTCAGTCACGTTTTTTCAAAGAAAAACTGATGAGTTTACATCCGTTTTTTTTCAGCCGTTTACATCCATCTTTTCATCTGTTTACATCCGTTTTTCATCCTTTTACATTGGTTTACATCTGTTTTTCATCCTTGTTGATCCACTAACATCCGTTTTCATCCGTTTACATCCATTTACATCCGTTGACATCCGTTTTTCGTCTGTTCCATTTTTTTTTGCGAAAGAAAAATAAGGTTTTCTTACGTTCAAAAAAACGGAAGTTAACAGATGTGTACATTAACGGATGTAAAAAGATGTTCATCCGTTTACATCCGCAAGTCCATAGAAATACATGGGGGTCCATTTTTCATAAGTAAACAGACAGAGGAAAAACAGACATACGGAACTCCCGTGTGAAAGAGGCCTTACTCTTTTGGTTATACCCTGACCTAAACAATCCCACCCTACTTACCAGGACCCAATAGCTGCAACCTCCATTACTTGTTTGCATTTAATGTTAAAAGGCTCCCTTTCTTGGTCATACCTACGCAATTCGGCTCCACCTCTATGGAGCTCATCTTACCTCCGTCTGCCAGCCAGCAGAAGGTCTCATAGAAGTCCAAGGACTTGTAATATGCAGTCATGGCCAGGGGAGAGAGCCTTTGTCTGCTGAATGTAAATATCCCTGGTGTCCACGCTCATTGGATCTCATCTAAGTAAGGGTGAGATTGTTTAGGTCGGGTCAAAGGAGCAAAAAGTGCACTCTGTCAGAAAGTGCAATTACTCTTTAAGTCATGTGTAGTTAGAAAAATGAGTTTCTCATAAGCGCTGAAAACTTTTATGTGCAGCCAGAAAAACATTCAAATTCCTGTTTCAAAAATAATATTTTCAATTTTCATTTATAGATAAGGCTCAGTGCTCAGTGAGTCCAACTGACAGAACAGACTGTGGATATGCAGGAGCTAGTTCTGAAGAATGCCGTTCCAGAGGATGCTGCTTTGACCCATCTATTTCCGGGGTCAAATGGTGCTTCTTCTCCAACAACTACAGTAAGGGTTATTCCTATACTTACAATCTAAAAGTGAAGGGCAAGTGATACAAAGACTATTATAGTAACTTGCACTCCCCTATATCAGTGCATGACGCAACTGCCCTGAATACCTTCCTGGCAGATCTCCGGCTCCCCACTCTCATTGAAGAAGCTAAGACCTGTCTGGATGCTCCATTCTCCGTTGAGGAGATATCCAATGCCATTGCCTCCTTTCCTAATTGTAAATCGCCAGGCCCTGATGGGCTTCCAATAGAATTGTACAAGCTTTACATGGATGTTTCGTCCCCCAGTCTGCACCGCCACTATGAGGACTGTTTGACAATAAATCTCTGCCACAGTCCTTTTATGAGGCTCATGTGGTCCTATTAGCAGTGGCATATTTACCGCGAGGCAAACAAGGCGTTTGCCTAGTCAGACAATTTTCATGGAAGGGGGCGGCACAGGAAATGGAAGAGATAGCACAACTGCTGTGCAGGACGGGGACCTAGTGAAGCACTGCCGAGGGGGTGGTGGGGGGGTGGGTTGGGGTTTGAGGTGGGGGGCGGCGGTTAGATTGAGGGCTGAGAACCATGGCTGCGGTTGGCTGAATGCTACTCAGGCGGAGTTTGACTTGGGCAGTGCAGGGGCGGAGCGGGCCCGGGAGGATATCTGCTTGGCTCTCTCTCTCACATCTTGAATCTGCTGGCTCAGTGCTCCTGTGTTTCTCCTGTCTCCCGAGTCCCATCCAGCCATCACGTGATTGCTACATGCTGATCACTCCACCCCTAACAACTGGAGCTGTGACTAGTGAGGTGAGGTGCTGGTGGGGGGTGGTCTGTCCTGCACTGGGAGCCACGGACCTGTCTGTGTCAAACAGCAGTAAGTAAATTAGATGTGTGGGGACACTGAGAGTGCCTGTTATGGCGATCAGGAAGGGAGGACCATTATGTGTGCAGTGTTCAGCAGGCAATATACAGGGATAGGAGATCAGGCAGTACACAAGGTGGTGCATTCTCTGACATCTTCATTCTCCTGTATCCTGTCCACAGTCTCTGACCATCTCCTGTAGTATCTCTGCACTCTCTGACCATCTCCTGTAGTATGTCCGCCATCTCTAACCGTCTCCTGTAGTATGACCACAGTCTCTGACCATCTCCTGTACCATGTCTGCAGTCTCTGACCATCTCCTGTACCATGTCTGCAGTCTCTGAATGTCTCCTGTAGTATGACCGCAGTCTCTAATTGTCTCCTGTAGTATGTCTGCAGTCTCTGACCGTCTCCTGTACTATGTCCGCAGTCTCTGACCATCTCCTGTACTATGTCCGCCATCTCTGACCTTCTCTCCTGTAGTATGTCCAAGTCTCTGACCATCTCCATTATCATGTCTGCAATCTCTGACCATCTCCTCTCCTACTATGTCCGCAGTCTCTAACCATCTCCTGTAGTATGTCTGGAGTAATGATGTGCTGTAACCTCTAGCAACCAATTATTGAGCGGTAATAAGCAGTAACCTATAGCAACCTATCAGTGAGCAGCAATAACATGTAATAACCTCTAGCAACTGGTAATGATGTGTAGAAACCTCTAGCAACCAGTGAGTGTGGACTTGTTCTTTATGTTTACATTACTAAAGTTTTTTTAGATAAGTCTATGTGTGTGTGTGTGTGTTTGTTTTTGGTGATGCTGGGGTCGAAAACAATATTGCATGAGGGGGCAAGAAAATGTTTGCCCAGGGTCCAATCAATATTAAAGACGGCCCTGGCTGAGAGTTGTGCTGCCACCCGTGGGATGGGTGGTGGAAGCATGGGGGGGGGGGGGGGGGGTGCCCAATTTTAGTGTAGCCTAGGGCAGCACAATGAATAAATACAACACTGCCGAACCTGATAAGGATCCCCTGCAATGTGTTACTTATAGCCCTTTTGAATACAGATTTCAAAATACTCACTAAAATTCTAGCTACCAGATTTTCCACAGTATTGCATTTATTGGTGTCCTCTGATCAAACTAGCTTTATGCCCCTCAAAGCGACTGAAATCAACTTGAGAAAGGTTTCATACACATGGAGTTGCATCCTGAGGGCCTGGATACGTGAGCTCTGGTCTTCTGATTCTGTGGACTGTGGTTATATGAAGGAGGTCCTGGCCCGTATTGGTTTTGGGGAGGTGTTTCTCAGATGGATTAGCTTGCATTATGATCATCCAGTGACCATCCAGTATCAGCCATTAAGTCGGGAGGTAGAATATCAGCTTCCTTTTCTGTCGGCAGAGGCACAAGACAGGGTTGCCCATTGTCTTTTTGCCCTGATGTTGGAACCTATTGCACTGGCCCTGAGAAGTTCCTCCTTGGTGCGGGACATTCAGGTAGGCAGTTTACTTGAAAAGATGGCATTATATGCTGATGATGTTGTGCTTTTTCTAGAGGATCCTATAGTCTCATTACCCGCTTGCCTTGAACATTTTAGACTATGTGGCCTCTTTTTCTGGCCTGAAGGTGAATTGGCACAAGTCTCAAGTGCTGCCATTGGGTAGAGACCTCTGTTAGCCTCCAGCGGCTACTTCAGCCCTCCGGCAGGTGACCCAGGTTAAATACTTGGGGCTACATATTACTAGGTCAGTTTCTGATTTCATTAGGCTGAATGCCCCGCCTATAGTTTCCCTACTTAAACATAAAATCAATGCCTGGAGGAATCTCCCTCTTTCCATGATACGGAAAACTAATCTGCTCAAAATTAAATTTCTCCCTGTCTTTGCTTAATGTCATACGTAACTCACCAGTTTGGATCCCCAAATCCATTTTTCAGTCTGTACATAGCCTGATCTCTGGCTTTATTTGGCAGGGGGGCTTGCCTAGGCTTAGGATGGCAGTGCTGCAGCAACCATGGAAGGAGGGAGAATGGAGGTCCCAGGTTTCCACAAATATTTCCTAGCTGGGCAGTTGGTGTTTGCACATAGATGGCTCATGAAACCTCTTGATGATACAGCAGTCGCCTTGGAGGCAGCCTTAGTGGGATCTTATGAAACCTTAACACGCTTGATTCATTGAGGTTACAAATTCCCCTCACTGTGTCTATGAGATCTGTGTTGTTGGCCTGGATGACAGCGCATGGAAGAGACCCTGGGGAATCCCTCCCCCACGCTCCTCATGATCCTCTCTGGAAAAATCCTCATTTCGCCCATTTTCTCACTTATGAGGATCCGATAGTGTGGAAATGCTATAGGGTCAAGACCATTGGGGATAAAGTACACAATGGGGTTCTGTGATCCTTTGATGAGTTGAAAGCTATACACTGCCTGCCAAATACGCATTTCTTTAGGTTCCTACAACTCAGCCATGCATATCAATCACAGTTTGGGAGGGCCCAGTCACCTTTGCCCCCTCAGACATAGAAATTATGCTACGAGATGAAGATCTACTCAAACCCTTGTCTACTGTACAGTATATAAGTTCCTGTTTCCTCTCATTCATAACTTACTCACTAAATGTATGACCAGTTGGGAGGCAGTGGTTCCCGATCTTGATACAGAGGATTGGGAGGATATTTGGGATGCCCCCTTTGTCAGGCTCATTTCTGCTCGGAATCAGCTTATATATTATAAATGTGTTCACCTTATTTATCTGACTCCTGCTAGGCTAGCTAAAATATTTAGTAACATCTCATCCTCCTGCTGACGTTGCTCAGTCTCTGGGGACTATTTTATAATGTTTTCTGAGATTGCCCTGCGTTACAGCGATACTGGTCTGGAGTAATTCAGTGTGTCCAGTCAGTCACTAACATACCCTTTATCTGTACGACATTGTCTCCTGAGTTTGGTGGATGACTTGGCCCCCACTAAGGCCATTCGTACTTTTCTCACTCTCCTTTTCTATTATGCACGTAAACTCATTCTACTATCCTGGAAGAAACCCGAGGCTCCAACTGTTGCAGCTTGGAAAACTCTTATAAATAAGGCCCTCCCATTATAAAGAGCCACTTATGCTAATAGAGGGGTACCCCATGAATTTGATAAAGTCTGGGGCGGCTGGATTGCTTCATTTCTCTTTCAGTGGCAGATTGAGGAGTACTGCACTTTGCCTCACATAATAATTATATTGAATTGTTCATGTACACTGCTTAGCAGTCTTGTTGGCCTGTGAATTCCTGTTCCTGGACTATGTGATAACAATGCCTGTATCTGTCAAAATGGTGTGGAGAGATTTTCTTTGTATCCTGTACTATGTATGTGTCTTTGGGTAGGTGGATGTCTTATTTATCTTGAATGTATATGTATACTGATGTTCCCTGTACAACACGGGCATGGTTCTCCTCTCATTTGAATTTATTATTTTTGTTGTGTAATTGGATGACTACCTGGCTTGTTGGCCATAGCCATAGCTTGCTTTTTGTTGGTAATCTGTATGTTTTCTGAAAAATTACTAGTAAATAGAATTTTGCAAAAAAAAAGATGGAGTGAGAGATATCGAAGAGATTGGGGTAGAGAGTGTCAGAAAAAGGAAAAGGCCTTGAGGAAGAACTTATAGCATCCCACCCTTCCCAAAGGATGGTGAAGGCTTCTTCTTCACTACTTCAGCCCATGACCTGGTTTGTTCCTATATGACTTTGTAGCAGGGCTTTTTGAGAATGTAACACGTAGTACATACTTAACTCCACCACCTTGACACATCTTTACAATATACCATTTCTATCATATTCCATCATTATCTTCACAGACTCCAGACATATGACTTTGTAGCATATTCCATTTAGCTTCACAGGATGCCACTGGATTTAACTCAGTAAGGCCTTGCTCTTTGTTGTGCTGGCTTGGTCCCAAGGTAGGCCTTATACCACTGAGTGGCTCAAATATGGAGTCCCCCAGTCACCAAGTGGGGATCATGAAGTATCACCTGTTCCCTCACTACTAAGGTCTCTGTCACCTGCCACCATCATCCCTTCCACCGTTAGCTACTCCTCCTTCTGTCCCTCCACTGCACTAAGTTTCTCATACCCTCAAGGATTAACCAGATTTCACTTGTCACCAGACATCCCAGTTTTTATAACTCTGAGGGCTAAATCACGTTTCTACTTATTCTGGAGGGTTAAATATAACTTCTCACTCAGTTCCCAGTTCTTTGTGATACACCATAATAGTGGTCTCCAAACAGTGGCCTGGGGGCCGGATGTGGCTTCTTTGCCTCAGGGCAATATGTCTTCTACTAATAACAACAATGGGGCATAATTCTCCCCACTGACACCAACAAAGGGACACAATTCCTCCCAATGACACAAACAATGGTGCACAGTTCCTCCCAGTGACACTCATGATGGGGCACAAGTCCTCCCAGTGACACCAACAATGGATGGTGATTCTTCCCACCCAATTACATCAATGATGGGGCACAATTCCTCTCATTGACACCAAAGATGGATCATTGTTTACTCCCACCAATGTCTGGACATTTTCTGCTACCAATGGCCACAGGCTGGACCTTCTAAAGTCTGAAGGACAGTAAACTGGTCTTTGTTTAGAAAGTTCACATGCATAGCTGCCCAACACAAATACTCCCTATTAGCTGTGCATATTTTTGGCTGTGCATTTTGCTGTGCTGTTGCATGGTGGTGCTTATTTGTGGTGCTGTTCATACTGGAAAAGTGAAGATGTTAGGAAGCATAAAGTCTATTGCTGTGGCTGTCCTTGGTAATGGGTCCCACAGAGGGGCGTGCTAGACAGCAACAAAGATTACATAGTGTGCTGGTCCTCTCTGCACAGCTTTCACACCGGACATCCCCAAACTATGCCGATGCTGATTCCCTGTATATATGCCCTATTAAACGGCAAGTGACACACATACAGGTGGAACCATGTCACAAAACATATTAACCCCCTACATGCACCAAGCAAGACTTAAAGGTACATTTACAAAGATGCAGCTTAACAGCAAAAACATTCAACCAGATAAGCACCTTCCTACATGCCCTCTCATGGATCTGATCTGAGTGACAGTGGGATTGTTTAGGTCATGGGGGTCACACATTTGGAGGAAAATTTTCTTTGTAGTTCCTCATAAGTGGCAAAAAATTTTTATGTGCAACCTGTAAACATTGCTATTTTAAAAATAATATTTTCAATTTTACTTCATAGATAAGGCTCAGTGCTCTGTGAGTCCAACTGACAGAACAGAGTGCGGATATCCAGGAATTAGTTCCAAAGAATGCCAATCCAGAGGATGCTGCTTCAACTCATCCATTCCCGGGGTCAAATGGTGTTTCCACAAAAAGATCTACAGTAAGGGTTTTTACTATGTTATCATTTCTATTACTATTATTATAGTACCAACAGTTTTCTGCAGCTCTATACAACATAAACTGTGTAAGTACCTGAATTCAACTTGGATTTAGCTTCTCATAATCCCCTATTGAGCAGAACTCAGACTGGGAGAGAAAGAAGCAACCCAAAGAGCCAGTCATAAATGCTCAAACCATCATGTGCTATTTGAGTGATGGTGGGATTGTTTAGGTTGGGTCAATGGGCAAAAAGTGCACTCTGTCTGAAAAGGCAATTCCTCTTTAAGTCATCTGGTTACAAAAATTAGTTCCTTGTAAGCGCCAAAAACATTTATGTGCAACTTATACTCACCGGACTACTTTATTAGGTACACCTTGCCAGTGCCAAGAAAAATCTCCCCATACCATT